GCTCACTGTAAAAATTAGGTTGGCTGCCTGTGATAAGCATTCTATGTGTTTTGTATTGGGCTTCTCCTAGTCCCTGAAGCACATTAACCTCCTAGGACCTGGCATCTACATATGTGGACATCACATTTTGGGTTATTTAGACCAAAATACTCAATTTTGCTCTACAAGGGCATGATAGCCACTTACGAGGACATTATACTGCTACTGTTCTATCAAAATGTTAAACGAATATCCTCATATGTGGCTCTTACTTTTCTTAAAAACAAAAATAAATTATTACTGCATATTTGGAAGTATATGTTTTCATTTCTCAAAACAATTATTTATGGTAAATGGTAAATGGCCTGCATTTGTATAGCGCTTTTCTAATCCCTAAGGACCCCAAAGCGCTTCACACTACATTCAGTCATTCACCCATTCACACACACATTCACACACTGGCGATGGCAAGCTACATTGTAGCCACAGCTGCCCTGGGGCGCACTGTCAGAGGCGATTTAATATAATTCAGTGTGCTACATATTAAACTTAGAGGATAGAAACAAAGTATCGATGCACTAGTATTTAGCCAATATCTGAGACCAGTAAAGTATTGTGGCGTGGGTGTGGTCACTGGCCAGCTGCAGAGGAGGGGTGACGCAGTGAGCTCCCGGGGCGGCGCAGGGGCGGGGTGAACAGGTGTGCTGGGGATCTGTCACTGTCAACTCTTTATATGTTGGCAGTGACAGTCGGAGAGGAGGGCGGATGTGACAGCAGTGGGAGAGAGCGGGAGTGTCTATGTCCCGATGCAAAACCACAGTATTGAATAAAAGTGCTGCTGTCGCCATATTCGCCCAGCTTATGTTTCTTGGGTCCGATGTTACAAGTATTATCAATATTTAGATCAATCTCCCCACCTTTAGTAAAAAGTTATACATATTAGTTTTTAAATATCAGGTTTGCAGCCATAGTTTATTGGTGCAGCTATGTCTATGATAGCAATGTTACATCAATCCAGGTATTTTTGAAACCTTCACATAGATTTGGATTTAAGTCCAATGAAAAAGATTTACTTAAAAGAGCCACCTTATAAGACAAATCCCACACTAACACTCCTTCTTAACATTGACTCTTTCGGGGTTTCTTGATCTTAACAAATACCCAAGTCTTCCTTGGTATGTATTGCCACTAGAGCCACTGTCTAATAGTCTTGCATTAATACATAAAAATTAGATGGATATGAAAACTCATACACTCAAAAACAAAGGAGTTGCAACTGGGTGAGCAGGATCTAATTTGTATGATATTTTTAGCATACCTAAAATTCTGCTCATGCCTGTGCTCTAAGATAAACACAGACTAGAACTGAGGTTTTGCTTTTCTGAGCAATTTTTATTTTGGTCATTTAGAATTCTAATAACTTTAATGGTGGTTATTGTTTTTACAGCACAAAAAAAACTTGTTGCTATGTTAATTCAAATTCAGCTGAATAATATGATCACAGACAAAAACTAAATGGCACACAAATTAAATGAAGCACGCTTATTCATTAATTATACCAAAATGAATAAACTAAGAAGCATAATCCAAAGATGTAATAATGGAAGAATTGTTTGAGCCGTCAAGTCTTTGCTACAGAAAGAAAAACACAAAATAAATTACCTTATAGTGTCTTTAGAGGTACAATGGCTTATAACTGGGGCAATGTAATTCTCAAGTTCCCAAATAAGTACCCCTATGCTTTGTATCTTATGGACACCAGTTTTGAACGCTATACAATGATACAAAAATGAACTTTTAATTTAATTTTCTGTTCAATTGTATTTTATTTATGTATTTGTCAAATCATAACGCAAAAAATAAGGGGCAAAATAAGATACAGGATATTTGAAAAGCGATTTGCATTTTCAAAGGACTTTCAAAAAGTGGTAACTTTTGCATCAAAATTTATATCATAATTTCTTTCTGAATACTGTCTGCTAATTGCACTTTAACATTTGGATGCAACTTTTTACTACTTGGGAACATATATTTGCCTTTTTGGTTTTCCAAAAAGCAAAACAATAATTTGCTCTAGTAGGTAGATTCATGTAGATCATAGAAATTGACTTTTATTGTAACCTTTTTTCTGAAAGTGCAGTGAGTGATGCTGATGACACATTACACAACTTTTAACTGAAGGAGTCAAATGTAAGGACATGGCAAAGAAACAAAAGGTAAACGCAAAGCGGAAACTGATGCAGTACCTGGAGTTTTATCTGACCTTTATCAAATTTAAAGCTAATTGAGAGTACACTGAAAGGTTGTGCAATATTCTAAAGGTCAATCAGGCCTGAAAACGTGATTACATCTGCTTTGCTAACCTTGGGGTGCAAATGTTCCAATATGCTGGGCCACAGTTTATGACCTCCACAGAGAAGTGTTTCAGCAAAGTGAAATGGGCTATTAACAGGTGAAAAGAAGGGAAGAGGGTTCAGAACTCTGATAGCACTATTTCAAACCTGAGATGAGCTTTGCATTGATATTACCGTTTTTCCCTGTGAGGTCGAAGTAGTATTTCCATTTCTTTTTCAACAACAATAATCTGACCGTCAATCAAACATACAAACTGCTACTTTTGTTAAGAACTCCTGTCAGATGATTATGTAATACAAAATAACATTTCCTCCTAAGCTGTCTCTTTGATAATCGCAATATAACTATATATAGCTGAAATGCGAACAGTGGCCTTCAGAACTTTATTCACAGGATACATACTGCAGTGTCCTGCTACCTTATTACGCTACTGAATCCGTTTGAGTGATTTGAAATCATGACATTTTCATCTTCATACACAGAGAGAAATATTGGAGAATTCTGCAAAACCTCAAATCACAACCAATTTTGTTTTTCTTATTATACCCTCACTGAACACTTAATAAAGTTTTATTATATCTGTCTATCCTTGCTAAAAAATATCCAAATCAATATCTATTACAAATTTTCCTATGATAATATATGCCTTTCAACAAAAATAGATCTTGAAATGATGAGCAGAAACCCATCCAATCCAGTAGCAGTCTAGGATTTGTAATAACTTCACAGCTTGTGAACCAAGTGTAAGCAGCATTTTAGCTGTCTTGAAACTATGACCTGTGAATGTGTATGTAGGTTACACAGTAACTGTACACTGGTAACTGTTATGTTATTGTATGCACAACAAGAGAGAATTTTTAGATACCACGCTGTGGCCCAGATATACAGAAGGTTTTCTTTGGTATCAGGTACCCGATGCACCAGCCTATTACACTGGCCAGAAAATATAATGAACAAGGGAAGGCAAAAAAAAAAAAAAGCACAAAGATTCCAGGACCAGAAAGTGCACCAATCCAGTCTCTGGGATTTTAAACCTTTGCAAAAGCACTGCCTGCCCTTCAAACTCAGTCTTTAAATTTTCTGTAAAAAGGGACTATTATCTCTTGCCAGCTGATATTGCAGTGGCAAATTTGTCAGGGTATTGACACCAACGGATACCTCATGAGTAACAGGGAGTTGACAAAACAGCCTTAGGGTGAGTTACCTCTAATTGCTCCTTAATACTTCCACTTTCATCGTGTAAAGATTCACTGCTCACATTTAACCTTCAGGTAAAGTTCGCTTTGATGCTAGTACAAGAGTAGAAATTAAATGTCCTCTATTTCAATTTTCCTAATTGCTCTTTTTGCATGCAGACATTTAGTCCTCATAAAGACAGAGATTGCATCATCTACACACACACACACACACAACTCAAAAGCACCTAAGCTAAGCAGAAAATACAATCTCTGGGAAATAATTGGCATGCAGATACAAAACAAGATGGAAAAGTTGGGAGGATCAGTGAGCTGCTATCAATCAAAAAGACGTGTTAGCTGTGAGAGAAGGGCAACGTTGCCCGATGTAATCTTAAATGTGTAGTAATCACTGACTTCTGGATCAAACACACACTATACATGTGCACTATATATATTATATTTAAAGTACATGCAGGAAAATCTGTATTGTGAAAACTATATGCATCAAAGTGCTGCACACAGTTTTGAAGCATACCTGGAACAAAGCTCCCCTGCACCACCTCCTTGTATGCCCACCATCCTTCATGAATTTTTGGTGGATTTGGCTGTGCTAAAGGGGGAGAGAAGAGACACAGCAACAGGGACATCAGTCACTTGTATCTGAAATGTAAACAATGAAGCAACAATGATTTTTTTTTCCCCAGCCTAACTGTAATATACTCTGTTAACCTCTTATAAACAACAGGGCTTAGGAAATAGTTTCAACCTAAACGCACACATGTGTATACACTTAGCAAGCTGTTGTGTGATCCAATGACTCCATAGACATTAGTATAAATTTTATTATTTTATGTTGTGTCAACTGTAGACAAAGGTCTGGAAGGCAAAGGCCTAGAAGTCTGGGCACAAAGAGAAAGCTGTAAGTGAGAATTACTTTTTTTGGAATCATACTTTTTTGGATCTTAATTCCCCCACAACCCCAACTCTTCATTTACTAATTAAACACCAAAATTAAGGCCTAATTTAATGTCCAGATGTTGTCCTGATTGTTTCTCTTTAATGGATGTTGAGGTGGTTGAACAACCCTCTTCCTTCTGTTATCACTTCCAAAATCCTTGTTGCAGTAACACTGGAGAGCAGGTTCAGTTTCATTGGAGTTGGCCTAAAGCATTGCATCGACCAACCAAATAGGACTATGTCAGTCTTTCCAGACTATTAGAAGACTGCACCCTCTGCCCAGCTCTTCTAGACTGGCAACCCCCCCCCCCCAAAGAACCCAAAAAGACCTAAATTGCAACAGGTTTCTTTTTATGTAGTCTGTTTTATTTCTTCAACTTTTGGCTAATGCTACTACCATGAGACTGACGAAGACGGAATACACACTGATCTCTTTATTCGTGTTAAAAAATAATGCAACTAACATCAGTGAGGTTACTGGTGACCCATTTACAGCGATATGCAACAGTTTGGGCATCCCTGATAATTTTCATGATTTTCCTTCATAAATCAGCACTGTCATCTAATTATATCATATAGCAAATGAACACAATGATATTTAAGTGAAATTAAGTTTATAGGATTTACAGAAAGTGTGCAATAGTTACCTAAACAAAATTAGGCAGGTGCATAAATTTGGGCACCCCAACAGAAAAATCCACCATAGATTTTCAAGTTTTTCAATATTCAGGTCTGGAGATGGCCATTCCAGAACATTGTACTTGTTCCTCTGCATGATTGCATTAGTAGATTTTGAGCAGTGTTTAGGGCCATTGTCTGGTTGAAATATCCAGCTCAATATCCGGCACAACTTCAACTTTATCACTGATTCTTGAACGTTGCTCTCTGTATTATTGTATGGTATACCTTACAATATAAAGTGCCTCGAGGCGACTGTTGTTGTGATTTGGCTATATAAATAAAATTGAATTGAGTTGAATTAAAAGAATCTGCTGATATTGACTGGAATCCATGGGACCCTCAACCTCAAATTTTACTGTGGGTAGCAAGTCTTTCTCTTGGAATGTTGTGTTCTGTTTCCTCTTGTTATGCCCAAATAACTCAATTTTAGTTTCATCAGTCCACAGGACCTTATTCCAAAATGAAGCTGGCTTGTCAAAATGTGCTTTAGCATACCTCAAGCCATTCTGTTTGTGGCATGTGTGCAGAAAAGGCTAATTCTGCATTACTCTCCTATACAGCATCCCCTTGTGCAAAGTGGGCTGAATAGTTGAATGATGCAGTGTAAATACCCTTTCTCATGATTGGATTCGCCTGTGTGTGTAGATCAAGGATCAGGGAGCTTACCAAACAAATTTTGTGTTCCAATAATTAGTGCTAAAGGTATTAAAATCATTAAATGGCAAGGATGCCCAAATGTATGCAACTGTATTTTGTTTAAGTAACTATTGCACACTTTTTGTAAATTCTATAAAGTTTATTTCACTTCTCAAATATAATTTTGTTCATCTGCTATATGATATATTGCTGAAATTGCTGATCCAAACAACCAATGATTTATGAAGAAAAATCATGAAAATTATCAGGGATGCCCCAACTTTTGCATACCACTGTACTACCATGTACTGGAGAGCTGTATTCCCTGAACCTTTTACTATAAGGTGACAGTGGTAACGACGGCACTTACAACCAGCTGGGGCCATTCTGTGTCTAGTTTGCAAGCTCCCCATGTGCCTCCATGGGCTCTCTCAAGAAATTAGGTTTACTGGCAAATTATAAATGGCCAGTAAACCTAATGACCACGAATCATTGTTTGCGTCTGTGTGCTCGCATAGTGATTGTTCGGGCTGTACCTCACTTGGGCCACCTTGCAACCCTGAATTGTATAAGTGGAAGAAAATGTATGTATAGATAGATGTTGGGAAGTTAGTCAGATGGACATCATAAAAAATATCAAAACTTCTACAAAGCTGATTAACTTTTGATCAGAAACCACACACACACACACACACCTCAACAGTGCTGATTTGATTTGAAGAAAATAGCTTTACCATTGGCTCCAGAACTTGGTGAACCATAACATAATTAATTTCCTTGTTAAAGTAATGCAGTGCATGCAAATTTTCTCCATTAAAATATCTGTTTTATCATATTATTGTAATCAAAGCAAGTAATTCTAGTTTCCAGAACTGCATCATTGAACAACACAGTAGCCTACAAAGCAAGCCACAGTCAGCTATTGAAACTTTACACTTTGACAAGGTAAGTAGTACCAAGGTAGCACTAAATTAATGACTTAATTTAATTATTTGAAAAAATTATGTGAAAATGACGTTATTTTCATTTAAAGCAGTTAGTGGCAGTGACCTGCTTTTTCTAATTAATGTGAAACCAGCTATACTGGGGAACATGACACTGGCAACGATTTTACTGTGGAGTGAAGGGGAAAGGCTGTGAGTCACAACAGCAGTTTTGGAGGTTAGCACAGACTCAAAAACAAGAAGTGGGGACCTCTTGCAATGTGCTCTCTGGGGAGGTAAGCAGTGAATGAGTCTCTGGGGCCTTGGGAAATGCTTTTGGAAGAACAGTAATCCAAGAGGTATTGTTGTCAGTCAACCCAGATGCAGGAATAGATGCGAGCCTTATGGAGGTTGCCCTCTGAGTTAGTTTGGGTGGAGGGCTAAAGGAATTGTAGTTCAGTGTGACCAGGATGTAGCTCCTCAGTTCATCAGGCAGTCAAAATTCACAAATGCCTTAGCCCCTCTTTGCAGTGGTCCCTATATATACAGTGGTCCCTACAGTGGTCCCTTGTTTATTGCGGGAGTTATCTAAATAACTGTTTGTGACAAACACAGGAAACACTTTTCTTGCTGGGTTGCTGGGTGTGTTATTTAAAATATCTAACTTTTCATTGCAAAAACGGACATGGGTCATACACATCAAGGCAGGCAGCAAAGCATACAAACCAGGCAAGGTTAAGTAAAAGACAAAATCCCCAAACATGCCACAAGCTCATACAAATAGAAGGAAAAGAAAATGAATAACACAAGGAGCAACATGAAAACAAGACTACAAGTAGTAGAGGTGGGAGTTGGACTTGTGAAGTGCTACAAATATCTATACAGTACTGTGCAAAATTTTTGAGCCGCCCATCATTTCTTTATATTTTGCTTCCAGGGAGTCAGACCTTTTGGAATTGTTTAAAGTGGTCTTTAAAAGCAGTTCTCTAGGATTTCTGATGATCTTAGAAAGGTTGGCTTTGGACATTGGGGTGGCTGTAGCAGGTCGCCTTAGGTAAAGTGCTTGTGTGAATGGGTAGGTTTGGGTGAATGCATGAGTTGTATAAAGCGCTTTGAGTGCTCAGTGAGAGTAGAAAAGCGCTATATAAGAAGCAGTCCATTTACCATTTACATTGGACGCAGCTTCAGACTCATCTAATTTACCATTTTAATAGAAAAGTTTGTTTTTGCTATTGTTGTTTGTCAAGTTACTTAACATTTTACTTATGTATAATTCCAGATATAAAACAAGCACTTGTGTATCATTCAAGACAAAAGGCACATATTTCAAAGGATAAACCAGTGTTGTGTGTACACATAAAGACAGCAAAGAGTTTGACAAGCACATAATAGTATTTTTCCACCAACACAGTGATTCTAAAAGAGTTATTAGTTTCATTTTAGTGGAGGGAAAAAGAAGATTTGGTAGACCTACAAACAAATCGACAGCAGATGAACAATATCTGGAAATCATGTCCTTAAGAAATGGGAAAAATTTAACAAAGACATGACCTAAGAAATTCATCTGGGCCTTCAGTTGATCTATCTACTACCTGCCTGAAGCCTCATCACAAATGTTCTTTGTGGAAGAGCAGCTGTCAAAAAGCATTTTAAGAAGGGGAAACAATAAAGAAAATCTGAGGTATGCCAAATGGATTGAATTTGTTGCAGTACCAGGAAGGTCCCCCTGCTTTAGAAGACACATGTACAAGCCTGTCATCAGTTTGTGTTCTTTGACGTGGTCTCATTTTTTCAGAGTCCTTTTTATTCTCATTAAATATCAGATGTTCATGGATGCATGATGTACCATGGGCTCCCAGTGTCACCCATTTCACCAAACCTTTAAATTGAGGCTGTGTAAAGTAAAGCTCTTCGCTCCTTCAAAGGGCATCTAGCTACTTGTACAGATCTGTGTTGATATCTGCACTGTTATACATACAAAGGCTCGCTAGTCTATTTATCCTCGTATCTGATTATCAGTATAATACCAATATCCATCTATCAATTCATCCCTTTTGCCTAGAATCTAGACTTTGAAAGATAAAACTGACTATTACCTAATATTAGATATTGTATTATATTATTTGCTAACAAAAATAAATTACCTTCTATTGCTTGGTAATTATTGTTATGGTTAGTAAAATACTGTCTGAACCCCTGTCAGTGCTAGTTGTGTTGCCCTAATCTAGAGTTTGTATTACAATCTGTGTTGTGCTGGAAACCAGTCATTTATTGACCTTGGCAATTAGTGGACTCCTTCTTGATTAAAGAGATCACCCTCTTTAAGACCCCATTCAAGTCCCAGCCAAGTGTAAATATGTTAAGCTGCAGATGTGAGAACGCCCTTGGTAAAAAAAAAAAAAAATTCCACACTTTGTTGTGTGGTTTCTGAAATGAGAATGTTGCTCTAAACCTGTATGACAGATCTGGCTGGCCACAGACTCTTACTGACCTGAATCCTATTTAGCATTGAACCAGCTTATTTCATCCCTGCTTGGGAATGAGGCAGCACTCAATTCAGCCGTTGCCAACCTCCCATAAAGCCAAAGGAGACAGTCTCAGTAAACAGTTTATTTTCATAAAATATCCAAGCTCTTGCATTGATATTCATTGAAGGGCTTGAGCAATTCATAAACCCAACCATGCAGGAAGAGAGGGATGGAGGAGCGTGACAGGACAGCAGGGCAGGTACAGGATGGACTCAGAAAGGGAGGAAAGGGGAAAGAAAAGAAGAGAACGTCAGAATGGAAGAGATGCAGAGGCTAAACTAGAAGTGCCAAAGTGCATCCATAAATTAAACTTGACCTTGCCAACAGCTGTGCTTACTGACTTATGAGACCATTATCTCTCTCATTCTCTGTGTGTGTGTGTGTGTGTGTGTGTGTTGTCATTAACTGGCTCAAAGTAGGTAACAAAGAGGAAGTCCACACAAGAAATTCACTTGTGTGAATGGGAGGTTCGTGAAAAACTAAGACAAAATAAAATCCATGCAGTAAAATATGTCAAATTAAGCAACATGTTAGCCGTTAGGGCTGCTGCTGCTACTCTGCTGTCAACAGTAGTATTGCAACAACTAGCAATAAGCCCTAGCAGTCACAGGAGGGTGCCTTTGGTAGCACCAGCCATGGAGCAGTGCAGGTGGAGTGAGGGAGGGACAGAAGAAGGTGGAATTAATGTGGTAAGAAAATAAATGGATGGAGATAATTAAGGTCAAATTAATGTCTTCTTTGACCATGAGCCACTCCTAATAGCTTTAAGTGTAACTTTTAATGTCACAAGATGCAGTGCAATGCAACTAAGAACTAACGCAACAATAACTGTGGCAACCTGATTAAAAATCTGTTTCAATATCAATTATCAAACAAAATTAAATCTATGCTTTTATACGTGTATGTCTCTCTCTCTCTCTCTCTCTCTCTCTCCCCCTCTCCCTATATATATATATATATATATATATATACACACACACACAGGCTAGGCACATTAACACATTATTTACTAGTCAACTAAAGAAAAAAAGGTGACTAACCAACTACTCTAAAACGTTAAATTAGGATGTACAATTTAATTAAGACGTGCAATTTAACTGTGCAGCACCCCACATTGCACATCATCAACATTTCACGCTATACTCCAAGAAAAACACTTAAAATAAACCAATGTTATATACGATATTAAAACATGTTACTACAGCTCACGTATTACTAAAATAATAACACAACTAAAATATGACAAAATAGCAACATTTGAAAAATAAATAAACTGTGACTGAGAAGTGTGGCATATCGTGCCATGTGTTATGAAAAATGCACAATGTTAGAAAATTCATTACAACAACTTTAATAACATTTAAAAATATCAAAACAATAAATCATCCAGCCATTTTCTCCCACTTATCTAAAGACTTCCCCCTCGCCCCGTCCTCCTTTCCCAGGCCCAGCCGATAAATGTAATCTCTCCAGCGTGTCCAGGAATGACAGCCATCTCCTTTTGAGGAGAAGTAGCAGCTTTACCTGAGACCTTCCAGAATGAGGGAACTCCTCACTCAACTGCTAAGGGAGAGCCCATTCACTTCCACTTGTATCTGCAATCTCATTCTAATAGTGTTAACAAGGTTAACACTACAAAGATAAGGCCTAGATTTGGTTTCTCAACAACCATGCGCCATATGGTGGCAGAGGGCTGCATAACATTTAGGACATAATAATTTACCGGTTTTAGGCATCAATTAAAATTTTAACATTAACAACAATTTTAACAGTTAGATTAAATCACTAGTAAGTAATTAGTTGGCTAGTCAACTAATTGCACATCCCAATTAACTGACAATTATTTTACTGCACATTAAAGCAGTTTTTCAAAATCATTATTATTTTGAAAGTTTGTGACATTTTCATTTTAAAACTGTTCCTGACTGCAGCGTTGACAGCACTAAAGTTATTTGCAAACACTGCAAGGTTGAGTTTTCTTGTCACCAGAGTACTTCAAGTCTAAAGGATCACTCAATGCACTACACAGTATTGATATTAGCAAATCACACACCCAAACATACTGTGGCAGGAGGCTTCAGCAGACTACGTTGGATGCAGTATGTAAGGACATCTAAGCATGTAAGTGTAGATAAACAAAAGTAAGACAAGCTAACAAACGCCATACCAAAGTGGATAGCTAAAAAAATGTAGGCCAATTAGTGTTTGTCGAAGATATTGGTCTAAAGGAATGTTCTTAGGATCCCAACAAATGTAGACATGTATGAGCCTCCTTCAAGACACATCATCACAAGAAGAATGTACGAGTTGTAATTACTTAAGGTTTAAAGTGGAGTACTGATGAACAACAGAAGCTGTGTTCACAAAATGTCTCTTTTCTGTATTGAAAACAGAAGAACAGAAGAAGACAGACATTTTGCTGAAACATGTGCAGAACATTTTATTCACGTTGCAAAGCAACTAAGCAACTTTAAACACAGCCCAGCAAGAGTTACAGAATTTGAACAGCAACAAACTTACACAAACAAAAGAAAGAGTCACTTATACAAAACATTTCCACCAGATGGAATTAAATTCTGGACATGATGAAAACTATCCGCAGACACCAGCAGACACTCAAGGATGTCCAAACAGAACACCAAGATTGCAAGATTGCCAACTACAGCTGAAATGGACAAACTGCAGATGTTAGAAACACTACTGAAACCCTGCAGGAAGGTTTTACATCATTTATTTCTTACTGTGTGTGTGAGAGAGAAATAGCGTCTGTCATGGTCCTGGGTCATGTGACCCAGTATTCGGAGTTTGTTGGTGTTTTTGTTATTCTTTTTAGTCTAGTTTCATTTTAGTTTATCTAGTTACATTCTGCCATGTTTCATGTCCAAGTTTTCTTTGTTTGTCAAGTTCAAGTCATGTCTGTCTCCTTAGGTTTCCTGTTTTATTTTGAAAGAGCTTTGTGTTTTGTGTTTATTGTTTTTAGTTTCACGTGTCCTGTCATTATGTTAATTGTTGTCAGCTGTTTTCCCCATGTGATTCTACTTCCCTTGATCATTCCTTATGTGTATAAATACACATAAGGAATGATCAAGGGAAGTAGAATCACATGGTGTGTTTCCGCTCAGTCAGTGTCAGATCGTCTGTTAACCTCACCACAGTTTTCATAGGTTTACCTCATTGTGTCACTGTGTTTCCTAGTTTACTCAGTGTTCATAGTTTTGACATAGTTCTTTCACTGAGTGTCACGGCCTTCTGTTAACACAGTGTTCATAGTCTCCTTAGTTTCCCTAGTTTCATGTTTTTATTCTGCAATCAGCCACAATAAAGGCTCGCTTTATTTTTGAAACTACGTCTTGTCTCCATCGTGTCTGCATCTGTGTCTACCTCATTCTTCACACCGGCGCACCCCGCCGTGACAGCGTCTGTATGTGTGTAAATATAGCATGAATATTTAGAGGACATTTTTGTGCGTATAGAAGTAAATGAATGCACTACATTTTCATTTTAAATGTTTTTCTTTTGTATTTTTTCTTTTGCAGGTATGAGACTGAACTTCTGGG